TCTAAGGATCTACAAGTGGAGCATTAAAGGCAATAACATTACTAAAAGGTAAGGCCATATGCTTCAATTTTGAAAAACAATTTGACATTCGCCGTTAATTAAGTAGGTAGGTTAAAGAATGTCCTTTTTGGTATCTGCTAAGACGATGTCATCGAATTCTTCTACAAGAATATTCAATTAGACCCCGAGTTCGACGGGTTAGATGTTCTGGAGATTTCTTACTAGGTGCTAAGACTTCAATAACTGAATTAAAATTAGGTTCAATTTCATGAATAAATGGGTATTCGTTCTGCATAAAATTGGTACAAGCTTCATCATCCTGAACTTTTATGAGTACACATATGTCACTAGTTGACCGAAAGAAACTCTGGAGTGTCTGAAATTTAATGTCATAATTGGTAAGGTTGACGTATATTACAAAATTCCAGTTGGTTTAAGAGGTTTGGAGCTGACTTATTGATTCGAAATAGAGGCCTGTAGCATTTTTGAGGGTCTTCGTGTGGATGTTCTACATTTTCTTAATTTTTATACATAATCACAGTGGTAAATCTGAAAAACACTAGTGATTATTCGTTGAATAACCCTAAATAGGTTTCTATGCAATAGAGTTTGTTTGTTACACTTTAAGTAACATTGAGAGGGTCTTCTTTTACTTCTACTACTGGAAATGGACCTAGATACTCGAGTGCCAATTTACCCTTACTGGCATTTTCTTGTACTATCACTTTATCACCAACTTTTAGTCCTATTGAATTTACTTTCTGGTCATACCGATCCTTAGATTTCTCATTGAATTATATAACGTTGCTTTCTGACCATTTTTTGAGGTTCCTACATCAGCCTTTTCATCTCGTATTGGTAATCATGATAGTTGCACTGAGGTTCCGTTTTCCCTGAGAAAGTTGTGGGTACTACCGACGGGTGACCATATACTACTTCATGCGGCTGGAACCCCGTAGCTGAATGTATGGATGAATTGTGACAATACACTGAGTAGGGACCGTAGACATCCCAATTTTGAAGGTTTTTACTAGCGAAATTTCTCAAGTATTCTCCGAGAGTTTTGTGACTGAGTTCCAAGCTTCCATCACTCTGCGGATGGTTAAATGTCGTTGAGCTCTGCGTTATCTTCAAGAGCTTACAAACTTCTTTGAACGCCTTACTCAAGAATTCCGTACCACAGTCGGTCACCAGAGATTGTGGTTGTTCATGTAAACATATGAACTGTGTGATGAAATGCTATGAGATTGTATTAGCCTCGTGATCTTTCATGGCTGAAGCCCAAGCGATTTTCGAGAAATCATCAATTAGTGTTAGGATGTAGGCATTACCGGTATAGGAATTTGGTAAGGAACTACAATGTCCATATAGATTTTCTCGAAAGGTATAGTGGTCGCAATGGTCGTTATAACCATGGGCTCCCGGATAATCTGAGTTGGAGTTTTATTGATTTGGCAGACTGGACATTTCTTTATGTACTCTATAATCTGAGCTCTCATTCCTTGCCACTGGTATAATTGAGATATATTGCTATACGTGAGTGAAATCCTTTGGTGTCTACTAAGTGGATTCTCGTGATGCTATTGTATCACCCGTTGCTTGTTATCTTCCGTAAGCTCATCTCGTGTGTACACTTAAATGTGCACTGAGGAGCCAAGGAAAATAAACCGTAGCATGTCATGAATGGCTTCCCACTTGTGTCCGTCTAGAATACAGTATAGTTTGGAGCAAGCGAGTTTTGCAATAAATTTTTTACACAGTACGACTTGAGGTTCAGTTACAGAACTGTTGAAGATTGTCTCATATGTTGGCTTTTGATAGAATGATTTCTTGGTGATGATATAATGGAACTTCAGTTGCTCTGTCTGTGACATTAAGATGTCTATTACTTTCCGATTTTTCTTCTGGAGTTCTCTAAAGTTTAAAATTTAATATGGAATTCCAATGGTTTCATAACTCCATTACTTTATTCATTTTGAGGTCTTCAGAAACACAAAAAGCTATGTCTCCTGTAATACCCTTGAGGTTTGGTGTTTTGATGCTTTACGTTTCTGACTTAGCCTGAAGGAATTTCTGATACTCGTTTGTGGCATGCAAGTCATCAGAGTCAGTGGATGGCTCATGCTGCTAAAGGTTAGGTTAGGTTAGGATAACCTTTACCACTGAGATTCTTTGGCCTGGAGTATCTGGACGTGTTTCACTACTTTCTGACTTCCTGCACCTTTAATTCTGGCCGTAACTCTGTGAATTTGGTTCAGCGCATCGGCGTTTGTTTTGTTCACTCTTGGCTTGAAATGTATAGTATATTGATACTCTTACAGCTTGAGACGACAACGAGTCAGTTTTAATCCCGGATCGGTAATATTATACAACCATACTAATGCCCGATGATCGATAACTATATTGCACTTTTGTCCGAATAATTATTTACCTTATTTAGGTATACACATCTTAATTCTCCATACTATACTGGTTAGCTCCTTCTCAGTCTTGTGGTAGTTGACTTCTGCCTTATTTAGGGTACTAGATGCAAATGCTATCAGAAAATCATTTTCTATCGGTCCTTCTGACGGAACACATCCGATCGCAAGTCAAGTTAAATGTTTTTGAGAATTCCGGATACTGTAATATTGAAGCCTGTGTCAAGAGGTCTCTAACTGTTCAAAAATTGTTGACAGAGGTCGATCCACCTGAACGTCACGTCCTTTTTCAACAATGAGGTCAGTGGCTTAGCGATCTGCCCATAGTTACTGATGGACCTTCTGTAATACCCTGATAGTCCTAAAAAAGACTTAACCTCTTTCACATTTCTTGGAATTGGGAATTGTTTCACACAACTTACTTTCTGAGGATTTGGCTAGACTCTTTCTTCTGTTATTTTTTGTCCGAGATAATAAACTTCTCTTCTGAGAAATTTGCAATTCAGTGGTTGAAGTTTAAGATTGTATTGGCGGAGTCTCTGAAAAATTTCTGGTATTTTCTGTGAATAGTCATTTAGGTCCTTTGCGTAAATGATAATATATATGATAACATCGTCTAGGTACACGAATGCTTTGATTCTATTTATACCAATTAAAACCTTGTTCATGAGTCTCTGGAAGGTCCCTGGAGCTCGCTTCAAACCAAACGGCATTAGTTCAAATTTGAAATGTCCCCGGTCTTTAGAGCTCTGTTTTGCTACAGTCGGAGGGGTCCATTGGTATCTGATGCTACCTATGGAACAAATCCAAGGTACTGTTATATTTTGACCTCCATAATTGGTCCACAATATCTACAATGTTCGGAAGTGGGAAAGTATATCCTATTGTGACCTCATTCAATCGGCGAAAATCCACGCAGACACGGCATTTAACCTGGTTATCGACATCGGGTTTCTTTAGGACTATGAGGAGTGGAGCGTTCCAAGGCGATTCACTAGCTTTAAATTACACCTTCCCGTTTAAGGGCCTCCATTTGTTCCGTAATTTCTAATCTATGCCTTCGTGGTAAGTAGTAGGGCTTTACGTGAATTGGCGATACCGCTTCTGAGGTTTTTCTGTGTGTTACTGCTATAGTTGCTGACACTCGATCTCCTTCTAAAAAGAATATATCCGATTAATCCTGACAAATGGCCACTAACGATTCCCTTTCCTCAGAATTTAGATTATCGGTTATAAGTTCTTCTTCCAATCGTCTGAGTCTTCTATTGTTTGCTTGAGATTCTTCTTGTAAATCCGTGACCTGAACCGAATGGATAAGTCTTTGAACTCCTCGTGGACCAGTTCCTTTCAATTACGCGTCTTTAGTTTTATCGCTTCTTTGGTAGGGTTGATGAGTGTGACTAACACCCTTTTGTTTTGTACTTTGATTACAACATTACTGAACATCACTGTTTCGTGATTTCTTGACCTTCAATGATAAGGGGATTTCATCTTCGGCGCGAATAACTGCTTAGCTTCTAACGAGGGTTTCAGTGCGGGGTTTTATCAAAATTTCAGCCCCGTCAGGAATGATGACTTTATTAGTATGATAATTCAGAATGATTTTGTTTTCCACCATAAATGATCGTCCAAGGATACCATCGTTTGGGATTGGGAATGAATTGCTTGAAACATTGCAACTATAATTTTAATCAAAAATGTAGTACCAATTGTGTTTGTCCCATTATGTGTACCATCTGGTCATTAATGCCCTTCAGATGATATATGACGTTTTCATACACGATTGTTTGATCCGCGATAGAAGATATTTTTATTAAATTAAGCTCACTCCCAGAGACAAGAATAACATTAAATTTTTGCTGAGAGTCAGTTCGATATAATAAGTTAAATGATTTCGATCTAATTCTGCTATGAAATAGAGAATTTGTCGTTCCCGGAGTTTTTCAACTCGTTGTGGAAGAAGGTTTGGGATTCGCCATTGTCCTGCAATCCTTTAATCTTTTGGCCATTTGACCAACCTTATTACGGTGGAAACAATTGTGGTTCTTCATGGTTTGTTGAGGAACTCTATATTACTTCTTTGTCGCTTCTTGTGAGTTTCTGACACGCTCTTCTTCCCTTGCTGCTTGAATGGCTTTATCTAACGTTAACGGAATCTTGGCCTTTGAAGTCTTTCAGAAGTCCGAGTCAATCCAAGAATACTTTGATGGTTTACTTCAAGATACATGTTCCCTGATTAGTGTTTGGAGTTGCTCAAACCTATAAGCATATTTGGTTATTTCTTCACCGATTTTCTGTCTTGATGAATACGACTCTGAGAATAGATAAATGGTGATCCCCTGCGGTTCCAATGACGATTTCAACGCGTTCTTTAGTTGAGTCCAATTTTTTATTTCTTGAAGCTCGACCGCCAGACAAATAATCACTGTCAGTCTGACTTGAATTTCCTTGGAGAAGTCAAGCTTGTACATGGTCATGTGCGCAAGCTAGTGCAATCTCGCACTTTTCCAAGAATATATCTAATTTCTCCTGCATGTCCAAACTGAAGGAGCCTGGCAAGAGTTTTAGAGAAGCCTCCTAATGTTTCGCATTAATTTCAAATATTCTAGTATAAAGATTGCAATTAGTGACAATGAAAATACATCTGATCCTTTTGAATTATTAATTTTGCGTTCTTACGATAATAACCGATTACAAGAATTTGTAGAAATCAATTTACCAAAATTAGTAAATGATCAAAAATATGCTTTTAATGTTATTACAGAAAACGTAATGAATCATCAAGAAAGAGTATTTTTTTTAGATGATCCGGGTGGTACAGGAAAAACATTCATACTTAATTTGTTGTTGGCTCATATTAGATCCTCAGGTAAAGTTGCATTAGCAGTAGCTTCATCTGTTATAGCAGCAACTCTACTTAGTGGCGGCAGAACTGCTCACTCGACTTTCAAGTTACCGTTAAATGTATTATTTGATACAGAATACGTTTGTCCGATTCGTAAAGATGGCCCTCTTGGAAAAATTCTTCAAGAAACCTCATTCGTTGTGTGGGATGAGTGTACAATGAGTCACAGATCACATATTGAAGCAATCGTTCGAACATTAAAAGATCTTAAGTGTAATAATAAATTTATGGGTGGCATAACATTTGTTTTCGCTGGTGATTTCCATCAAACCTTACCAGTGATCCCAAGAGGTACTCGAGCTGATGTCGTTAATGCTTAATCAAAATCTTCCCCTATATGGAACTATGTTGAAAAACTTTATTTGCGAACAAACTTGAGAGTTTAGTTATGCGGAGGGGACGATATTTTTCCCGCACAGTTGTTGAAAATTGGAAATGGAACTTTAGAAAATGAAAAATGGTTACATTTGTGTCAATCACGCAATTGGACGGGTGGTCAATAACGTGGAAGAGTTGTATTCTACAGATTATCCTGACATTTTTAATCTGTAAAATAAATCTTATCAGTGGTTATCTGAAAGCGCTATTATCTCTCCGAGAAATGTAACAGCAGGAGAAATCAATGATATCATCCTTCTAAAATTCGATGGACACTCACGTGAATATCTGTCTATTGATACAGTTACATCAACAGATGATGCTATTCATTATCCACAAGAATATCTCAATTCACTTTCTCCTTCGGGATTTCCTCCTCATAAGCTAAAATTACAAATTTGGTGCTCCAATTACATTATTACGTAATATTCAACCACCGAACTTATGTAATGGTACAAGATTACAAATAAAATCGTTGCGCAATAATATTATAAAAGCAGTAATTCTTACAGGGCCAGCAAAAGGAGAAATAGCATTTATTCGAAGAATTCCCATGATTCCCTCAGACTTACCGTTTTCTATCAAACGGCTTCAATTCCCGGTTAAAGTTTCTATTGCAATTACGATAAACAAAGCGCAAGGTCAAAAATTCAAGTACATTGGCGTAGATCTACGAACAGAGTGCTTCATTTTCTCGAACTGGAGACCCGAATCATATTATGATATTAATTTCAACAGGAGATAAAACGAAAAACGTCATATACTCAGAAGTCTTATAAAATTATTATCTGTATTTATTTTTATTTTTATTTTATTTTTTATTTGTATAAAGCTAGAAAAATTAATGTTATTATTTATCCATATATTGTATTTATTATATTATATATTATTTATATAGGTTTGAGTCTTATATATTTGGTACATATAACGGGTAACGAAGTACACGGGATCAGCTAGTTAAACATAATACTGATGAACGAGTAGCTATAATTTCTGCATAAAGAGTTCAATATCTCCAGTTATTCTTCGTATGAATAGTTTCCATCCAACTGCCATAGCTCCACAGGTCCCATACTGATTTATCCTTGGAGTCTTCTGCACAAATAGTTAGTGAATAACCTAGAAAAAAAAATTAACATTTATAACAAGTGTTGGTGTTCAAATGTTCTTCTAGTATAGCTGAATTGCCATCGAATACCCATGCAAGTATTAAAGAAACATAGGCGCAATAATATGATTTATAGCAATTAAAAAGTATTGGGAAAAGGTAATCAACAAGACTGTCTCCATTTCTTTGTAGGAAATAAGCACATAAATATTTTTTAGGATGGATTTTAGAAAAAAACTGTTTCTCTCAAACCTCAATCGTCACACTTCCAGTGATATGAAAGGGTTCTGAGAAGGTGCATGAATATGTAGTATAACAACAATAGCAGAAAGATCAATATTGAACACATACATTCAGAAATGAGTTATACAATAATTCTATTCAAAAACATGCTTGTAAGATAATTCTTAAAGTCTTGTTTAAAAACATATACAAAACACTATAACAATGTAGTGAAAGTGTCAATGATTTTATAAATTTGGCTGATACGTGCAGAAAACCCAATAGTTTAAAAGACAAAAAAGGTAAATTTCTCAAATAGTGCACAAGGAACTGGACAAATTTCATTTGGGAATTGAAACACCTAATGTTTCCTCATAGTATAAGCACAGTAACATTTTGCAGAACGCACATCATGTTTCACATAAATTTCAAATATTCTAATATAATGATTGCAATGAGTGACATAATAAAACTTCAATTAATTTCATACAAAGCACATTGAGGAACAAATACAATGAATGAACCAATAGAATATTTAAAATTTTAGGTTTCACTGACAGATATTTTATTCCCAATATTGGGTTGGGAAACTCATTAAAAAATTACATGTGATTGTCTTTGAAGCTAGTTGTACCTATTAAACATAATACTGATGAACGAGTAGCTATAATTTCTGCATAAAGAGTTCAATATCTCCAGTTATTCTTCGTATGAATAGTTTCCATCCAACTGCCATAGCTCCACAGGTCCCATACTGATTTATCCTTGGAGTCTTCTGCACAAATAGTTAGTGAATAACCTAGAAAAAAAAATAAACATTTATAACAAGTGTTGGTGTTCAAATGTTCTTCTAGTATAGCTGAATTGCCATCGAATACCCATGCAAGTATTAGAGAAACATAGGCGCAATAATATGATTTATAGCAATTAAAAAGTATTGGGAAAAGGTAATCAACAAGACTGTCTCCATTTCTTTGTAGGAAATAAGCACATAAATATTTTTTAGGATGGATTTTTGAAAATAACTGTTTCTCTCAAACCTCAATCGTCACACTTCCAGTGATATGAAAGGGTTCTGAGAAGGTGCATGAATATGTAGTATAACAACAATAGCAGAAAGATCAATATTGAACACATACATTCAGAAATGAGTTATACAATAATTCTATTCAAAAACATGCTTGTAAGATAATTCTTAAAGTCTTGTTTAAAAACATATACAAAACACTATAACAATGTAGTGAAAGTGTCAATGATTTTATAAATTTGGCTGATACGTGCAGAAAACCCAATAGTTTAAAAGACAAAAAAGGTAAATTTCTCAAATAGTGCACAAGGAACTGGACAAATTTCATTTGGGAATTGAAACACCTAATGTTTCCTCATAGTATAAGCACAGTAACATTTTGCAGAACGCACATCATGTTTCACATAAATTTCAAATATTCTAATATAATGATTGCAATGAGTGACATAATAAAACTTCAATTAATTTCATACAAAGCACATTGAGGAACAAATACAATGAATGAACCAATAGAATATTTAAAATTTTAGGTTTCACTGACAGATATTTTATTCCCAATATTGGGTTGGGAAACTCATTAAAAAATTACATGTGATTGTCTTTGAAGCTAGTTGTACCTATTAAACATAATACTGATGAACGAGTAGCTATAATTTCTGCATAAAGAGTTCAATATCTCCAGTTATTCTTCGTATGAATAGTTTCCATCCAACTGCCATAGCTCCACAGGTCCCATACTGATTTATCCTTGGAGTCTTCTGCACAAATAGTTAGTGAATAACCTAGAAAAAAAAATAAACATTTATAACAAGTGTTGGTGTTCAAATGTTCTTCTAGTATAGCTGAATTGCCATCGAATACCCATGCAAGTATTAGAGAAACATAGGCGCAATAATATGATTTATAGCAATTAAAAAGTATTGGGAAAAGGTAATCAACAAGACTGTCTCCATTTCTTTGTAGGAAATAAGCACATAAATATTTTTTAGGATGGATTTTTGAAAATAACTGTTTCTCTCAAACCTCAATCGTCACACTTCCAGTGATATGAAAGGGTTCTGAGAAGGTGCATGAATATGTAGTATAACAACAATAGCAGAAAGATCAATATTGAACACATACATTCAGAAATGAGTTATACAATAATTCTATTCAAAAACATGCTTGTAAGATAATTCTTAAAGTCTTGTTTAAAAACATATACAAAACACTATAACAATGTAGTGAAAGTGTCAATGATTTTATAAATTTGGCTGATACGTGCAGAAAACCCAATAGTTTAAAAGACAAAAAAGGTAAATTTCTCAAATAGTGCACAAGGAACTGGACAAATTTCATTTGGGAATTGAAACACCTAATGTTTCCTCATAGTATAAGCACAGTAACATTTTGCAGAACGCACATCATGTTTCACATAAATTTCAAATATTCTAATATAATGATTGCAATGAGTGACATAATAAAACTTCAATTAATTTCATACAAAGCACATTGAGGAACAAATACAATGAATGAACCAATAGAATATTTAAAATTTTAGGTTTCACTGACAGATATTTTATTCCCAATATTGAGTTGGAAAACTAATTAAAAAATTACATGTGATTGTCTTTGAAGCTAGTTGTACCTATTAAACATAATATTGTTGAGGTACAGCTGAGAATGTATATTCCAGCTTTATTTAAAATGTTGCATATGTAAGACTGCTTGTAGGACGTCATAAATTGATGTTCATAACATTAATTTCTAAAAATTTGCCTATATTTACATTCTTTTAGGAAACAGTTTTCATCAACTTATTAAATAGTATCAATTAATGATAACAATTTGCAAAGACTATTCATTTTTAATATCAATTATGCTAATGTTCTTGCTAAGTTGTTTAACATTCTGTTTAAAGTTAGACATTATATATTTGTATTTTTTTTGATAATTTTCTTATTACGTCAAAATGTTTATAAATCTTATTTTTTAAACACTTGTGTTGTATTGTTCATTGTGGTTTTTTATTTATCTTTAATCTTACAGTTCAGGTATATGTGTCTGTGTAGTTGCATTTATACATGATTTAAAAATATTGATTACAGATTAGGTTTAGTAATGGGTATCATAGTAGGAACAATACAAATAAATGCCTAATTGTAAACATAATGAGTGTATACTATAGTTACATTTTTTAGTAAAAATGTATCATAACTAGCAAAGTATTATTTAAGGTAAAACTCTATTGATCAATTGCAAATTATTACAAATATTTTAATTATTAAAAGGGAAGTTGTTGATGTAAGGCACTGTTATTTATTACTTTACATAATAGGCAATTGCATAAATATTAAATGCTGTGAAATTTGTAATCAACACATATTATTTTTAATATTTAATACTTGATCTGATAAATGAATGCTACCCATGCGTCTGTTGTCTTACCATCTTACCACATTACAAATACTCGTTCACTAATTTGAATAGTGTGCCGTTGCTTGTTAGTTTTGTTATTAGAGTGAATTTAAGTGTTTTCAAACTTTTAAGTAAGAATATTATCTATGCTCAAGCGTCGGTAGAATTTTGATATTTTCATTTTCAAGCGTGAACAAGTATTTGAAATAACACAAATCAAAAGTGCTCACATCTCGCTTGAAAATTATAAAATCCAAAAATCTGCCGATGCTTAAGCATAGATATGTTCTTACCTATCAGGGGTATTGTGCTCATAAGGTAAGGAATACTACTAGGCATATTGCGGACCATTTCACTTGATAATGGCAAGATGGTGACCTAGTATAGTATATATATCTGTGATTTAAATTAATTATATTTAGTAGTAGGTAAAGTATAAGCAACATACTTGGAGATATGGTTTATTTTGATGGTGTACATAACCGTCATTCTCTAATCAGCTATCATTAAAAACATCAATATATTATAGTCTTTGTTCGGCTGCAGTCTTCTTTTTCTCAACACTCACACATATCTTTAATCTAGCAAAAATAATACTAATTACACAGCTGCACTCTTGTTATCTGAAATTACTTGTTTTTGAATGTAAATTTAGGTTTGTGATTATTTATAATCATATATTAAGTAATAAATCATATCATTAGTTAAAAACTAACTAATAATTACAATATATGTAAGGGTTACTACTCCAAACTTATACTTGTATATATTGTGAGAAATGACAATACTAATTAACAGTTATACCTGTTTGGTTAGTGTAACTTCTGATCAGTAAGAGCTAAAACTTACTACAGTAAATTCTCGTTCAAAGTTAAATAAGGTGAATTGTTAAATGAGGACTTACTGGACTAAAATAATTGTTTTAATATATATATATACAAGTATGTATTAACAGACATGTAAATATGTAATACACTAATACTCAAGTAATGGAAAACATATTTTTAATTTTTTGTTACTAAGAATACATAATGATTCCAAGTTTTGGGTTGAAAACGTAAAAGTCGGTACGGGTGAATTCATATTACTATAGAAACAAAGGTACAAATTCATTTAAAAAGATTCTTACGGAGTATGGACTTACTATGAATGCTCTCAAGTGCTTAGCCGTCGACCGAACATTCAGCCATTCAGGTGCATTCTAAGCCATTCTTCATTCATATTTCTATTGGCACAAACGTATAATTAATGTAAAAGCTAACTTGTTAAATGATTCAAAGTAATACTAATACTTGATAGTCATGGCTAATCATTGTCGATATCAATGTGAATAATGAATACTGGAAAATGGTTAATATTATTTTCATACAATCTGTGATTGTAGTGATTATTATCAATATTATCATACAAACCGCGTATCTACATAACAGACGAACCAATGTGTATACTGTGGTATTCTACCTAAAAGTCCGGCGAAAAAAAGTCCGATCTAGTAAAAGTCCGGAGAACAAAAGTCCGGTTTATTTATATATGCATATTTATTTATAGATATATATTTATGCAAGTATACATTTTTAAACTTAAATCAATATTATAGGTAGGCACAATAAAAATAAAAATATTACTAAATATTATTAAAAATAAAATACACAAAAATAAAATTTTATGTCGTACAACAAAACATTAATGTTATTTAAAATAATAGCAATAATTTATAATACAATTATTACATTTGAATTCAGAATGAAAAATCTATATCCTTAGCCTATAACCTTGGCCGTGTCCTAATACTATGTCCCACTTGAGTTAAAAACTCTTCAACACTTAGCTCGGAGTTATGAATTCGCTTGCATAATGTTTCAAGCCTGATGTTTTTTTGATTCATTTTTGATTTTTTCATGGGTTGTCCTGTACTGCTTAATGCTATTTTTGCCCTATAGGCTCCAATCTCTAACTTGATTTTTTTAATTAGCACCCATATTGTTGGATGACTATGACCTACCAAGTGTGTGAAGCGGTTGTTCCATGCTTCACATATATTATTAGTTCTGTGTTCACTATTTAATGTGGCTTCAAAGACATTCCACGTTTTTGGTAGGAATAAGGGATTAGTTTTTCTTAATTGTGTGTTCATACCAGCACCAACTCTCCTATATGAACCATTAACATATGTGGTGTCAAAGTAACTCAACAATCCATGCGCTTCAGAAATGCTTGTTTGTTTTAAAAAATCCATTCCTTCGTGCAACCGTTCAAGGGGTAAGAATGCCAAACTATCAATCATCGAACAAAAATGACTAAATTTGTCATCATTCATATACATGTTTTGTAAACCTAAATTCTGGATTTTGCGAAATGTACTCTGGCATAGATGATAAAAGCACCCTCTTATTTCTAATTCCGAACCAAAAATATTACTATAGCCGCCGTAATTACTGCTTTTTCGAAATCGACATGCAGAAACCTGGGGTCAGGAAACAAATTTTTCTCTTCGCATTTTTCAATAATTATTTTAAACATTGTTTCATAAATTGAAGTTGTCTTACGCTCTAAAAAACAATATACCGCAGTAATAAAAAAATCATTTTTTGGGACTCTTATAACGTATAATTGCATAAAATATTCAGGACTGAGATTAAAATTTCCGTCACAATACCAAGTATTTGCCTCTGCTAAAATACGAAGTCCTTCATCCACAGCGAAAATGATAACTCTTTCGTGGTTTAAATCCATGTTGTCGAATAATAAAAGTGGTTTTTCTTCATATAATGACCAATCGCCTAAAATACAAATTAAATAATATCATTAATATTTCAAATGACTAATAAAACAACTACATAAAAAAATATTTATTACTTGATAAATTTTAAATGTTAACGTAATATCGCTTTAATAATAGAAAAAACAAATTAAGAATTATAAAATAAAAAATGAAAATGATAAAAATATAATTTTTTAATAAAACCGTTGGTTTTTCGACAACTTGAAAAAATTATGTAACTATGTAAAAAAATATTTTCAAAAACATTATTAATTTTTGAAATAATGAGTGTTCAATGATAAAAGAATCACCCGGTATAATAAAAAACGAATATTTCAAATGACTATAAATAGTTTAAAATAAGTGAAATATTTACCTTCAATTTTCAGATCTTCCAAGCAAGTAGGTTTAGGAGGATTTAAATTGCTACGTTGCTTTTGAATAACACGCTTAACAGAATTTTCATTAGGTATATTCATTAAAATTTCAACCGGAAGACCACTAACCGCCTCGGCAAAAATCTGACTTGGTTTATCGCTAAATATTTTAGCACGATTTTTTATTTTGTGTTTAAATTTTTCTACTTCCAATGTGGTAAGATTGCCAGCATGATTATGTTCTATATCTAATTTTGCTTTAGAAATGTCTTTCGGTGTACATAATACTGCAGGACACTTGTATTTATTCTTCAAGCTACATTTCCATCGTATACTCTTGGTCAATTTATGTTGAATCGTATACGAGAATCCAACGTACACTATTTTATTTATAGTATCACCTTACGTTTTAAATTTAAATATTTCACTCATTTTCACAAGATTTGGATTTAAAGACACTAATAAAAACGTTTACGATACAAAACATCGACTGAGCATTTGGTAAAATAACCAGGTTAAGTAAAGATAATTTGTAATAAATTTGTTATATATTATCTATAACATATAGGTAATAAAGATTAGATTCCTATATAATGGCTAACACTGAAAGATAATAGTATTAGGTACCCCAACTTAATAAAGTCGTCGTCACAAGCTCTTTTTTGTAGTTTTTTTTTTGTAGTATCTAGTAAGTCATGATTATTTTAAAATTTACGGTTTCAAAAAGAATAAAAGATATTAGCTTACTGAAAAATTATAATTGCAATAAAAGCCTAAGTGGGCCCTAGTTAATAATCTTACCTTTAAATTATATATAGGCATAGGCGGCACTAAAGGGGGAGGGCAGAATTGCCTCCTCTGCCCTTCCTGCTGACCTTACCTGTATTAATATATAGTTCTTTGAACCTCGGTTTCCTAACTCTAAAAAGATACATTTTTATTGTATTTTCAATACTTAATTTGTTGCTGGAATATACACGAACTCCAAGCATAGATAATGAATCGCGGAAAATAAGACCACGGAAAAATAGCCTAGAAAAAAAATTAAATATAAATGTGAACACATGTACCTAAACTCATGTCTCACACTCCTAATTAGTAATTACATTGTGGCGTGTACCTATAACAAAATAAATTATATTATAATGAAAAAATGTCATAAATTATTATCGTGTGTGATTTTTGTATAAATCTAGTGTATAGGTACCTAAATTGTTTTCTTATACCCCTGATGTTTTTTGACTTAAAACTTAACTTAATAAAGTGTTAACTTTATTTTATGTATATAGATGAGTTCAAATTTTTATTTAAATTTTTTTTCTATTAAAAGTTGTTTTTTATGTATAATTAATAGTTAAGCATAAGCCATATTCAGATATAAAATAATTTATATTTGAAATTTTTCATTGAATAAATAGATTAAAAAAAAGTTTCTTATTGATACATATGAAATTTATGAATTATTAATTACTAATTAAAAGTAGAGTATAGGTACATGTATTCACATTTATATTTAATTTTTTTCTGGGCTTTTTTCCTTGGTGTGTTTACTATTTATTTTGTGCTTTTTTTCTGCTAGATTTTTCCTGTGCTTTTCCGCGGTTTTTTTTCTGTGGACTTTTCTTTCCGTATACCAAGTTAATGTTAAATAATTTAGGTGACAATGATCCAGATGATCAAGGATGCATGGAGTTATAAGATAATTAAATAAATAAATCAATTCATGTCATTTTTTTAAATACAATGTAGATACAACAATTTTTAAGAGTAAAATTCATGTTATTTTTTTTAATAGTAGGCATGTATTAGTCTTAAAATGTATACTAATTTAGTAATACAAATAGCTCAAATATTTTGTGACGTCTCCTGCCAAGAGAGTCTATTACCGCCTATTTATATCTCACTCTTACAAAATATAACAATTAAAGTAAATGAATTGTAGATACCTAATAATAATAATAGTAAAATAGTAGATAATAATAGATAATAATTACAATAATAATAATAATAATAATAATAGATAATAATATTAGGTAGTGGAATAGTAGATGGTACATGTTAGTCACTGATCACCTACATCTGTTGTCTATCATTATTCGTTGGAACAAAAAATCGGCGCCACCTCTCTTTAGCGGTTCATGTACGTGACCATTTTGTCCGCGAAATAACCAGGATTCCATGCAATTGCTACGAATTTCTTCAGCGCGTTTGTTACTATAGGTATTCCGTCTGGCCGACCAACTACCGCTTACATCGGTTTCGAATCAAATACAGAAAAAACCCCTATTATCAGTATAGCAGCGCACAAGTAGTAAAGAACATCGCTGATCAAAATATGTACTTATTTAAGGAAATTGAAAGCGTTTATTAGTTAATGCTTATTTTTATCTAACAAACGTGTAAACACTCATAAAAATTATTGTGAATTTACGCACCATTTGTTTTTTTTTAATTACACTAGTTATGACTTATATGAGGAACTTCAAGGTTTTTAAATTTTTTGGATTGCAGAAATTTTTTTCATCTTCAATAATTCAAAATCAACTAATAAAAATAGACAATTAATTTTATTATTTTTCCATTGCTTTAGAAAACTATTTTAAATTTTACATTTTTAAGTATCGAATGCATCAAGTATATTTACTAAATAATTTCCCTCCAAAAAATTGAAAAGATAAGCATTATTTCGACCAATTATCCAATTATTGTTATCCACACAGACACAAATATTAAGAAATTAAAAATAAACACACATGACACATCAATCATTACTCATTAGTTATTGCAAAATCAATACATTCATCGTTTCACCCACAATCTAAAATTATAAAAACAAAAAATATAAATTAATGACTCATAAATATTTTTATTTATATTTATCTGTTTACTTATTAATTATTGCTGTAGTTCAGTGTTCTACTCAGATTTTTTTTTTGAGTGTTAAAAAATTTGCTAAATCTAACTGTTTTAAATTGTTTTTGGTTTTTGATATAACTATAATTTTATTACATTTGTTCAACACTTCATTTTTTTAAATTTTAATTAAATAAGAAAATTCTAATTCTGAGGAAAAATCGCAACGATAGCTCTACTACTCGATATAATCACTACAGATCTGTAGATTTATGACCGACTGCAATGGCATTTCATTACAGACAATATTATTGTGATAAAGTACTAAGAGTCTAAAAACACATTCAACTCATCAGTTATTATTATATTGTCTGGGTATTATGCAGTGTGGGCTGAAAGCGGCACTTTAGTGCTGTTCTGCTAACTGCAGTCAAGCGTTTATGTATATTATTTTATGTATTCCAGGAACTAATTAGATATTTTTGAAGGGCGGGTCCATTTTCCTTCACTGGCCATTTTCTGCAAATAACAAGATTGGATTCCATTTCGGATAATCGTTTAAAATTCAAATTTTAGCAAAATTGACCATAATTTATGTTTAACACAACCATTACAAACTACAGTGACTCCTTTAGACACCTTCAACTGAACAGCGGATAACCTAAATAAATAAATAACCTAACCTAACCAAGGTAACTTCTGCAGTTTTTTTATGTAATATGCATATTACACTTTTTATTATTGATTGCGCCTAATACTTCGATCGTAATTCGTAATGAGCGATATTTGGTTAGTAATTGTTGCTGAAAACGACGCATGCCGTTTGTTTTTTTACTTGATCGTTTCATTTTATGTTGTAGGAAAGTTGTAGGAATGTCGCAAAAATATTCTAGAAATTATGAAGGTGACGAATCAGAACACATTTAACAGGGGCGTATGAAGTAATGGTAATGACCGCAAAAATAGTGGCTATACTACTACTGCTGTCGTCGCAAACACAGGCACTGACACGCGACGCCGCCGAAATGAAAAACAATAGCGACCAGTATGTGCAACCCTGGTACAAGGAGTCCGTAAATTTTATACCCAGTGTAACTCGTTGATACTTACAGCTTGCTTTATATACACGCAGTATTCCAACAAATCAAATTGGTTGGATAAAATTGTTAAGTCAAAAAAAAACTAGTCATTTATAAGACTTAAGCATTATAAAAATGTGATAACGTGAATAAATGCTAAGTAAATTGAATTAAAAATAAATATTTCAATAATTTATTTAATTGAGAGAATTTATTTGATTTATAAATTAATAATAAAGAACTTTTTACAAAACAAATTTAGCAACATTTGTCATGAAAATTTGTTAAATAGTCCAGTTACGAACGGACATGTTTATTTGTCGGAATAAATTCTCTCAATGTAAATAAATTACTGAGATAAAATTAATTTACTTAGTGCATTTATTCATGATATTACATCTTTGTAATGCTTAGGTCTTAAAAATGACTAGTTTTTTTTTTTGACTTAGCAATTTTTTACACGAAGTTCGACAAAGTGTTTTTGTTGGGATATTTTATTAAGTAAAATTATCTAGTATCATGTAGTCGAAATACTATTCGAAGCTGCGACGCAGACAACACTTGTGCCATATCCATAGACGTATCCATGGCCGTGTCTTAATATTTGAGATAACAAGTTCTATTAATACTTCTTTTGAACACCCTAAAGTTCAAGCTTTACATTTCTCCCTCATAACATATTTAGATACCTAGGTTATTGACACTTA